AGGGGGGAGCTCCTCAACCCCCTGATGGGCCCTGCTCTGTGCGTGACAGTGGGGAGCTCCCCAACCCCCTGATAGGCCCTGCTCTGTGCGTGACAGGGGGGAGCTCCCCACCCCCCCTGATGGGCCCTGCTCTGTGTGTGACAGGGGGCAGCGCCCCAACCCCCGGATTGGCCCTGCTCTGTGTGTGACTGGGGGTGGCATCGCAACCTCCCAATCTGCCCGTCTCTGTGCATGACAGGGGGCGGCGCCCCAACTCCCCAATCAGCCCTGCTCTGAGCCCGACCAGGGGCTGGCTGCACCTAGGGATTGGGCCTGCCCTCTGCCACCCAGGAGTAGGCCTAAGCCAGCAGGGCGTTATCTCCCGAGGGGTCCCAGACTGCGAGAGGGCACAGGCCGGGCTGAGGGACCCTCCCCCTCCCCCCGAGTGCACAAATTTTTGTGCACCGGGCCTCTAGTATCTTATAATCAATAATGTCTTATATTAAAAAAATAAGATATTATTTACTAGAGACACCAAACTTATTTCTAGTCAGTAAATATGCAGAAAACAATTTTTAAAAGTCAAACAGGATAAAATATTTTAGTGCACTTAAGGACCAGTTAAAGAAAAATTTGAGATAGACAAACCTTGATCATCTCTGCCTCTATCTGCTGATGAACAGCTATATAACTTTTCTTCACCTGCTGCTTGTCTTTGATCATCATGGTGAGCTTGTGTAAGGGTCCAGAATTTAGGTCCTCTGCATGTGTCTTCATTATCCTACTAAGTTGTTCTGTCTGCTGAATCATAAGTAGCCAAGACTTTAAAAAACATAAAGAAATAAAATTAGGGTGTATTAGAAGTTTGCATTTAGCTGTACTTTGTCTTAAAAGCTTAAACATTTAGTGTTACACATATTACTACATTAAAATAAAAATAGTAGGTTTCTGGCAATTGTGCAATAAGCTATGAATGGTTCATATTTAACATCTTCAACTTCAAGTCCTAATGCTTCAACTGTGTGTAATCAAAGACTATGCAGAATACTAGGCAAGGGACTAAGGGACTCAGAACCCACACTTGCATTTTTCTGTTTTTCTTTTTTTTTTTTTCTTTTTTTTAATCTTCACCCAGGGATAGTTTTCCATTGATTTTTAGAGAGAGTAGAAAAAAGAAGGAAAGACAGAGAGAAATATCGATGTGAAAGAAACACATCAATTAGTTGCTCCTGCACACGCCCTGACCAGGCCCAGGCTAGGAGATGCCTGCAACTGAGGTACGTGCCCTTGACTGGAATCTAACCCAGGACCCTTCAGTCCACAGGCCGAAGCTCTATCCAATGAGCCAAAGCAGCTAGGGCTTCTGTTGGTTTTTCAACACACTGATACGTTGTTTCTGCTCACACCATTCTAATTCCTCACAAAGGCCACTATTTCCTGATGCAACAGAATTTTCCCATCTTTATTCAAAGCCTGTCTCTCTCTGGCATCAGATCTTGCTGACTCTTCTATTTTGGCTTATATGAGTTCTTATCTTCCCACATACAAACTTGCTTCCTCCCTTCTTAAAAATGCTTTCCCAGTCTTTCTACCTGTTCATCTTTGCTGCATATGTCTTAAATACAGGCAATCTCTGGATTTCTAGCTTAGTCATTCTCTTTTGTTAGTAGTTCTCAATGATTTTCCAGCACAGCATTTTGCCTCAATAGCAGGGACACAAAATGATGGAAAAGACAAGTCATGTTATAAGAATTTCTAATTTCTAAATACTGAAAAAAGTAACAGAGGAATGCTCATTATAGGTCTCCTATTCAGAAACAATTGGAGATTTACCACAGTCAGGGAAAATACATGTTAAAGATACAAAAAATGGACAAGAAACAAAATCTCAGACATACGTCGAAGCAATTTCTTCACTGATACTGCTCCTAGGGCATTAGAAACTAAAGAGACAATAAACAAATGGGACTACATCAAAATAAAAAGCTTCTGCAGAGCAAAAGAAACCATCAACAAAACAACAAGAAAGCCCACTGCATTGGAGAACATATTTGCCAATGTTATCACCGATAAGG